ATGAAGCAGGCCCCAGTACAGCAGTAGATATAAATAAAGGGGAAAATATTGCAACGAATGTGAAGAGAAAGAGAAAGTGCTGTGCACAAGATTTGATGAAGAACACAAGAATGGCGTTAGAATATGTACAGAATGAAACGAAGGAAGATGCAGTGGATGATATGTTGACGATGTTCAGACCGATGCTAAAGAAGTTAAATGTTAGCCAGTTGCACAAAGTGCGGGACGAAATGTTCCGCACTATTTATACAGAGTATAGGAAAACATTCCGTAAAGGAGAAAGTGAAGAGAATAAAGAAAATTGAAAAAATATAGATTTGTTTGTTTAACATATATTCATATGTGCATACCTCAAGCTAATTCCTCCTGCCATGGTACACTGCCAGCTTCCGAAAGGAAGTACTCTTTGAATGTGTCCCTCATAAGAAGCGCCTCCCTACCCCCTTGTCCTCCTTGATTTGGCAGATTTTCTAGGCTAGTCTGCTCGATTTCCGACGACGTGGAGGCCCCGTGAGGTACGCCAGTCGGTTGGTCGTTAGTGAGGTCCCGAATGAAATTATGCAAGATGCACGTAGATAAAATAATATTATCCGCGTTTTCTGGGTTAGCGTTCAACCGCCGGTGGTAGATGCGGAATTTTTGTGCCAAAATTCCAAAGGCGTTCTCCACGACGCGTCTTGCACGAGACAATCGGTAATTAAAAATCCGCGTATCGTGCGACAATTGGACACCCGGATATGGTCGTAGCAGGTATGTTTTCAATGGGAATGCCTCGTCGCCAACGATCACGTGAGATGCTCTCATCTCGCTGCCAGGCAATTCCCTGCTGTCGGGCACATTCAGCGTACCTGCTTCTAATCGTCGACCCATGGCGGAATGCGCGAAAATCCCCCCATCGCTGTTTTTCCCATACCCTCCGACGTCCACAGCGAGGAATTTGTAATTGGCATCCACCAATGCCAATAGCACAATTGAAAAAGTTTTCTTGTAATTGTAATACTGCGATCCTGAATTGGGTGGCGCTTGTATTACAACGTGCTTCCCATCTAGTGCGCCAATACAATTGGGGAAGTTCCACTTCGTCCAAAAATCCTCCGCGGTTGTAGTCCACGTGTCGTTCGTGGGCTCCGGAATCATCTCGTGCAATAGCGTCCGTACGATTACTGCACACGTCTCGTTAACAATTTTGTTAACTGTAGTGTGCCCCAATCGATAGCTAAAGGAGATGGTCTTGTGGGAGTCGCCAGTTGCCAGAAATCTGAAACGGATACGAACCGAACCGAATTACGTAAGATACTAACATGATAAAATATACTGTACTCGTATAACGTCTATGGGGAAAACCGTATTGAATTTTGTTTGTACGTAATGTACATAGATACGCG